TTAATTTATAAGTATCTTTATTATAAAAATCATGAATATAGTAAAAATCCTTTTATTTTTTATCAAATTTATCATTATACCAATATTGAGTTTTCATTCAGTAAAGTAAGACTTTTTATTCAATTTGAAACTGTTAAATAGTTTTATTTTGATCATAATATTTTTTTTGTTTTTGTTATTGCTTTTCAATATTTTGAACTAGTTTTTCTTGATTAGAGTATAATTGATTAATTATTTTATATATTCATTTTATAATTACTATTTCTTTATTTAATTGATTATTATTAGTTTGCATTTCCAAGTTAAAGGATGTTGTTATAATTGGAAATTTCTATAATTCCTATAATTTCTATAATTTTTATAATTCCTATAATTTTTATAATTTTCATAATTCTTATAATCTCTATAATTTCCATAATTTTCATAATTATTATAATTTCTATATTTTTTATTGTTTTTATATATATATTAATTAATCAAATTTTATAAATTATCATTTTTATAGTTTTTATATAATTAGTCATAAATGTAATATTTACTAATGAAAAATATTTATTATAAATAAAGTATAATTGAAGCTTTGAAAAAGGTATCAATTGATCAATACAAAATCTAACTAATCAATAAATCACTTCTTGTTTATTGTTTAATAAAAATTATATATTAATTGATTTTATAATTATTAATCTTGTTATAATACTTATTTTATGTATTACTAAATATTCAATTAGATTGTTATAGAACTGTCACCATACTAAGTAAATACAAAGAAAGATATTTATTAATAATAGTGTTACCTATTCTAAATTAATAGAATAGAAGAAGTTGTATAATGCTATGATCCTAAAGCAATTGGATCGAATTATAAACTTACTAAAACAAACATTGATTGAATATATATGTCATGAGATTATCTATCTGAGTTCAGAACTTGTAATAGTGTTAATGCAAATCTTCTATATATTAAATAAAATAGTTTATAATAAGTTATATTTTGACATATTGTTTTATAAGCAAAAAATATATATAATAAATATTCATTCCAGTTTGTTTGATAAAGTTGAACATAAGAATAGTTGTTGAAATAACATTAACTAATTAAATAATTTGCTAAAATTAACTTGCTAAAATTAAATCTGAATTATTTTGACTTATTTTATTAGTAGCTAAAATTGTTTTCTAAATAACATAACAAAACTGAATTATTTGCTGAAATACCATTTTTTCTAAAATTAATTTAGGAAATCATCTTTAGTTGAACATATTTTGACAAAATTCTACATATGATCTGATTTATTTGTTTTACTAGATTATTTATTTGTGGATAATATAATATTATCAAGTGATATTTGATTTAATTTGCTTTATTAAATACTTGCATAATTTTATTTATAAAAGTAATGTCACAATCATTAATTTTTTTGGAAAGTTATATCGAATTATTATATTTTCAGTTAGAAAAGATATTATAATTAATATTGCTATTGCATTTTTTATAGCTCTAGCATCAATTTATTTGGTAACATAATCAATTGCTACAACAATATAGCAATTTTATTTTGTTATTATTGCTAGAGATCCAACTAGAAAATATTTATTAATAAAATTGAAAATATTTATAGAAGATAAAAATTTTAATTTTTATTATATTTTATTAATAAAATTACACATGTAATTTTATAATTCTGTTAGTTATTATATATTATAAAAATATAAATAATATTCAATATAATTCTTATTTTTATTAGCTAAAATACATGATTTTTTATATTATTTTCTAGTAATATAATTATTATTACTTATTAATATTACTAGTTTTTAAAAATAAAATATTGTTTAATAAAATATAATAAAATAGCTGATAATAATTATAATATAAACTGTTCAATAAAATAAATATTAAAAAATTTACAGAATTTTTTTAGAAAAAAAAATTGAAAAATTATTTTTTTCTAAAAGTATCCAAATAATTTTCTGAGTTTTTTAAATATTTTCAAGAAAAAAAAATAATTTGTTTTTTCTAAATTATTATTTTTTATTTAAATTTACTAATCAATTTGATAAATCTTTAATTTAATTATAAAAATTTCTGACAAATTTTTAAATTCTAATTATTTCTGGAATTAATATTATTGTAATTACTAATTAATAAATATCTTTTATTTTTATATTAAAACTAAGATTATAAATTATATTTTTAATATATAATTTTTTTTTGATAAAGTTGTTTAATTACAAAGTTATTATAAAATTTTTTATAATTAATTTTATATTTTAATTATAAAAAATTTTTATCAGAAAAAAATCCAGAAAAAGTATATATTAAAATATAACTTATGATTTTTGATTTGATATAAAATTTAAAAAGATTTATTAATAAAATTAAAAACTTTATATAAAACAAAAATTTTAATTTTTACTATTTTTTATTAATAAAATTGTATGTGTGATTCCATGATTATGAGTCACTATATAATTTGAATATCATTTTAATTTAATTGCAAAAATATTAAATTAAATATCATTGATAATATTATTAAAATTTGCAAGTGTGTTTGTTAAATATTTTGAAAACCATGACAATTTGAAAATTGAACTAAAAAAACTGAATTCAACAAAAAATAAATAAAGAAATCTTGATAAACAATATAAAATACAAAGTTTAAAAATAATTGTTTTTATTTAAATGTCATATAATATTAATATTATTGAAAATTTTAGATCTCATCTTCACTTGAAAACTAAAAATTCTCTTTCTAATTTTACACGAGTTTTAGCTACTAACGCTAAAAGAAGATTAATTATCAATTGGATAATTTTTTGGAAAAAACTATCATATGTCCGAAATACATGTATTTATACACGTTACTCCTGTTAAACCGGAGCCATCGTACAAAATTCCCAAATATCCGGTTTATAGTGATTTACTATTACTATGTTTTACATATATATTTTCCGGTTTAACAGGAGTAACATGTACATGTATATATTTCTTGGACACAAACAGGGATCTGAAAAAATTGAGAATGATAAATCTTTATATTTTTGATCGAAGTTTTCCTTTGCATTAAATTTGTGTTTATAACAAACAACATCTTTCTAGTTGATACAATCAATCCTTTTGTAGTTACTGAATTAATACTAATTGGGCAATTACAAAAAGAATCGGTCTGAAAGGCACAAGTAAATAAATATGTGGTTTTTGTACTTATCATTATTACCAACTTTGAGTGCTAGGGTATTTGTGGCACAACTATACATGACATTAAACGCCCACATATTTATTTATCAACAACCGTACCTTATTCGTGGGTAGAGTGTAACATATAGCATTGCTTAAAAGGCTATGATTTTGCTCTTTCTTTTTATTCTAATTGTGCTGATCTTGCTCTTTCATTTTTATCCAACGAGAAATAATCGTTCTTTCATTTTTGATAATTTCTCCAGAATCTTCATAGTGATAATGAATAAAGCCCGCTCTGTTACCCACGATTTAAATACAAGTAAGAATCATACAGATCAAGCATTAGAATTGAAAATAATTATCTTTTCAAATAAATCGAATATATGACAAGTGACAAACGACCTTAACTTTTTTATATTAGGCTAAGAAAGCCCATAGTCGAAGTCCATTCGAACTTTGTTGGCGATGCTCAAAATCGGTATCTTTAGTAATAATGGCAGATTCTGACAGCAACTAATGTTAAAAACAACGACGATGATAATGGAGACATTAACGACGATGGTAGTAAACGACACGATCGAATTTTTTACATTATTCGCGAACCTGTGATAAAATATGACATATAAATAAACTAACAATACCAAAATAACCTGCAAGTTAATTTCTTTAACAATGATCATCTTGTAGTTTAAATTTTCATTGTTGACTACATTTGGGTATAGCGTGCGAGTTTACCATAGTAGTAACATCTTGGAAACGTTAATGCGTGCATTAGTAATATCGGGAATGGTGTTACTACTATTTTAAAAAGTAGGTAGTTAATACGTATTATGAATGTGAATCAATGAAAGAATGCACTTTATCAAAAGAATGTATCAATGAATGCCAAAAACCAAGATTTTTGAAATAAGCGAAATTTTAGTATTGTTCCTGAATATTATTTTTAATTTCTATTCTATTATTTTATTTGTGACATAAGATTGACACTAACACTAAGAAACGAACAATAGAAATGGCCGTGAGCGAATTTTCTTATTGTGTACGAACGAGCGTACGAAAATATGTGTATGCACGTAGTTCTGATGATTTTCGTTCATATTTGTATTTATATATATATTACTTATATGAAGACAATATTAACTTTCTCTTGTGTAATGTTTCTTGAGTATCCGAATCAGGTGTTAAGAAAGAATTCCGTTACACTTATTAAACCCGTTTTCTATTATCGTTTATTCTAATCAAATAAATTATAATGTATCAAAAAAAGGACAATTGTTTTTGTTTTTTGAGCCTTTTTGCCTATTGTCTGTCTGTCTGTCTCTCTTTTTATGTATGCGACCGTAGTTTGTGTCTTGATATGTTTGTAAAACAAAAAAAAGGTTTTTTTTGGTAATTATGAAGGATAATAGCAATGGGATCAATCGATTAATTTCCATTGTTATCATTATTAATATGGGATATTGATAGAAGAGGTGGGTGAGCACAAGCATGACTGCGGAGATTAGTATATAATAAGCGGTGAGGAATGATTCATTCCCAAAAAAAAAATAGCTATCTCTCTCATCTCTCTCTTGATATTGCATTGACATTGAAATATTTCGATATTTCAATATCTATCGTTTGCTTATCGTGAGCATAACAACAATAACATATACTTCCGAGCGAAGTTCTACTGTATATCAAAAGCAAAACAAAATTTTTATATATTTCTTTAACGAAAAAAATAACAACAATGTCTTCAAAACATTTCTTTAGCAAATATCAACAACAAAAAAAAAACTCTTCTTCTTCCTCCTCCTCCTCCTCAGTGCAAAGTATGGAAAACAGCAACGATAATAATAGCACATTACCCGAGATCACAATAACAAGAAGTTCATTATCAACCTCACAACAACTTGACACTAATTTAGCCCAACAATCAACCTTCGATATGAATAACTCTCCGGTCTCTATCGATTTTGACTCTTCTTTAGAGAGTAACAATCTTGGGAACTCACTAAAGAAATCACCATCAACACAAAGTTTACCACCAGCCTATGAACCATCAGATCAAAAACCCACCACCGCCGCGACTCCTGTTTCAATTCCCATACCAGCACATTTACCAGCTTCAACACCAACAGCTCCCTGTTCAGACTTACTTCCCAGCTATGCACATGCCACAATCGATATGCCACCATCATACCCATCATCGAAAAACATCAACGACGAATTCGGTGAGACTCCAATCGAGCCACAAACTCCTTGGACAATCACGAAAAAGTTATATGTCTTCGGATTTTTTGTTTGGCCATTATGGTTTGTTGGAATGGGTTGGTGTGTCTTTGGACGGGAAAAGGAGACAAGAAAGTGGGCGAAACGGTGCATGTGGAATTCATTGGTGGTTGCTGCTGTCTTCACGTATTTATTGGTCGGGTATTTCAGAACTGGAAATCGTTTGGCACCATAAGGATTTGTGGGGCTTAGGTGTTAGCGAAAGTTGAAACGAACGGACAATGGTTTTAAGGATGTGTTTCGTGTGTGTGTATTATTGTTGGCTGGTCTACGTATACATACTGGTGTAAAACAAGAAGTTTAGCATTTAATTCTCTCTGTATTTTTATCTTTAATTTATTTTATCTCTAATTTATTTATTTCTTTATAATTAATTAATTTTCCGATAAATTCCTTTTTTTTTGTAATATTTTTCTTTTGTCTTTTAATTAATTTATTTATTTATCATCTATTCTCGATAGCAATCCTCATTAATACTTTGCATTTTTCATTCGCATTTTTCAATTTGCTAGCATATGTTCATACCAACACAAAAAGTCAAATTTCATGACACAAACATTTAAAAAATCCATAAGCTTCTTCTTTTTTGTAAATACTAATCATAATAAAAAAAATATCTAAGCGAAAAAATAAAAAAGAATTTTTGATATAGTAATGAATTGTGTGCGTGCCTTCGTTACCGTTACTGATAAGTTTGTTTGATTCAAGATTTTATTAACTTGTGTGATCCCCCATAATGATGCAATGATGCACGCCACTGTCAAAGTGCGTACCAGTTTTATATAGTAAGATCTTAATCACAAGAAAGGTGACTATAGAGTAGATATTATAACGTATAATCGCGTAATTGTCATATGGTTATAGACCACGTGTTTGAGGATGTACCATGCGATTTACGAGTATATATATATATCAAATGTGGGGTTTTGGGGGATTAGATCATTGACTCGAAATTCAAAATGATAGACGGTTATCAATTGGATCAATAATAAGAAATTTGAAAGTAAGAAAGACGAAAAAGAACATACATCATTCACAATTCTAATAATTTTTATCATAGTTTGGGGGTAATACATTCATTGTTTGTTTGTTGTGTCTATGAATAAGCGATATATATTGTATTTTTTTTGCGGGTGAAAAAAATATTAAAATAAATGTTTGGCTGTTTTTTTCACCTTTTTTGTTGAAATATTTTTATTCGTCATTCTTTTCATATTTATTATTCTAATTTAAAGCATTGTATATTATTATTAGTAAATCGTATATACCTAATTTTATATATTTTCAAAAAAAAACTACGCGTCATTGTTCGTTTTCGCTTTTCGAAAGACATTAATAAGAAATAAAATCGAAAAACATATTCATTCATTCACTTATTATCTATATCTTATAATAAATCTTGCATTCCATTCGCACGATAAAATAACATTCATTAAAAAAATGCCGTTTGGAATTTCTCATGATATTATTCTTACATTAGCGCGCTGGAGCCTTCATGGATTTTTTCGAGACATAAAGTTAGTTGGACAGGAAAACGTGCCAAAGGAAGGGCCTCTTATTGTTTGCTCTACACATAGGTAAATCAAGGAAAGAGATGCATTTTTCACAGGATATCTAATCAAAATTTTTCTCCCTAAAGTAACATGATTGTCGATGCGGCGGTTTTAGCAGTCACATTTCCACATAAACGCAAACTTCACTTTTGGGCAAAAGATTCGATATTCGCCAATAAATATTTCCAAGCAATCCTAAAAGATTCTGGCGTGGTGCCGGTTGATCGGACTACAAAGAATAATCAGCTGTTATTTTCGGCTACGGTTGATGTGTTAAGATTGGGAGAGGTGGTTGCAGTGTTTCCTGAAGGTGATTATTTTCATTATTATTGATTATCCATTAAGGTGATTGATATTTAGTGTTTGTAGATTAATAATTGAGTCATTGCATTGCATTGGATTTATAAGTGACATGGATCGGATAATGGTTATTAATACCTTTTGAATGATATTTAGGCACATCACATTCAGAGTCACGGCTACTTCGTCTAAGAGATGGTGCATCATGGGTGAGCAATTTGTTTTTTCTCTCTTCTTCCATTTTGGTTAGGTTTATATGGGCGACATCTCCAATTAATTAAATCATATAAATATAAAATATTAGGCTGCGTTAGCATACGCAAAACGTGTCAGATCAGAACAAATCAACGGAATATCTCCTGATGAAGACGAAGATGACACTAATAAATTACGAGAGAAGAAAGTTGAGCCAAAGTATAGTCATTTACCGCTGATGATGGTTCCAGTGGGAATAACCTATGTTCAGAAATCAAAGTATCGGAGTTTAGTTATCGTTTCGTAAGTTTTAATTCGATTTTTCCCTTAGGGGTGAAAAAGTTGATTCGCTAATAATGATCTTGAATCATTGATGAATAAATAGACATGGTCCACCGATCGATGTTGAACCCTATTTCAATGATTTCGAGAGAGATGATCGCACGACCGTTAAATTATTGACTCGGCAGATTGAAGAAGAGATGGAGAAATTGACGATAAATGCTAAAGATTGGTACGTTTATATGATGAAAACGTAATATAATCGTTTCATGCGAAATTCCAGATCTTTATTAATATAATTATAGGGAAACATTAAATGCTGCAAATATGGCACGTCTACTTTTATTCTCTGATGATAAAGACGTGGCACCTGAAGATTACGTGAAAATAACACAAAGGTATGATAATGACTAATGTTGTGCGATAAAGCTAATAGTTATGCTAGAAGGGATCATAATGATTAATGAGTTCAATCTGATCCAATATTTCCAGCCTCGTAAACTTTTTCACCACAACCGAAGAAGCATCATCACTAAAAACCAATCTCCACCAATATAAAACCACATTGGACTCACTAAATCTAAACAACATCGACATAGCACGTTACGAAACGCGCGAACTCACCACCCATTGGGCACTATACACCTTCGTAACCGAGGCCTGTAAATCACTGATTCAACTCCCGTTCTTCCTACCGGGACTAATGTTCCATTGGCCAATCTATATTCTGGGGAAACTCTCTGCGCGATATGAAATCTACGAGGAGAATAAAGCGCAGAATAAGATTATCTTGGGGTTGGCGTGGCTGGTGTTGGCGTATCTTTTCTTGTTTTTCGTGATTTGGATCGCGATGCTCTTTACCCCGTTGGGGCTTATTTTGGCTGGTGGTTTTGTGTTCATTTTTGCGTGGTATCATATTGCATTAGTAGATAGGTGAGCTATCAATTATGAACTTATAAATTTGCTTATTGTTTATTTTTACTATATGTTTAATTCTTCGTCTCTTTAAAAAACAGTCATTACGACACATTCAAAGACGTCCTCTCATCGTATTGTATATTCACAGCACTAATAAGCGGTAAAGGAAGTGACGCCCGCGAAAAAGTAGAATCTCTTGTATCGATGCGTCGTACATGTTTTCGAAACTTGGCAAGAATCGGAGAAGAGTATCGGGAAAAGAGTGACGACCTACGATACGTGTTTGAGTATCGTAAACGTGGTTTAGGTGGTGGTAAAGGTGCCGCGTACCTACAAAGGAATGGGTACACTCCGAATACTAATGGGACTACTACCAGTGGAAATCCTTTAGTGAATGGTAGAAGTAGTGATGGTGGTGATGATGGTGATGATGATAATTCTAAAAAGTCTTTGTAAATTTTGTAATTTATTTGAACGTTGACACATGATAGTATGTTAATAGATATTGTTAACGTTAATATTCATTTATAATAGATTCATATAATTTAATAATTTAGGCCAGCATTATCGTTTCGCGTCTATATATATATATCATGTTAAGTTCGCAATTCGACGCTTGACCAAATTGAATTCTGGCACATCAAACCTGTTTTGTTTATACACATGTGTTCATAAATAAATTATATTTGTTGAATAATGATAACGGTGGTTAACGCGCCACAATTCATAATTGCATCACATGCCCAAAGTACAATAGGGTGTGATTTTTTGGTAAAAACAGTCGCGATTCGTGTCTCAATTTAAAGTTTACCTATTCATTAGGAAACGTCAAGAATTTCCATTTTCTCCCTCTTTAACAAATTACCTGTATTTTGGCTATAAAGATTTATTCCATTCGAATATTTCACCTTTACACAAACTATCTTTTTGTTGGTCTTATTCAATCGTTGACACAAAGAATTATCCCATACCTATTGCTAGCAAATAATGGAGGCGAGTACTTCCTCTTCGTCTGCTGTACTCGGTGCACAGCAACCACTGGCGCCACCTCTTCTTTCTTCTACTCAATCACAACTACAACAACAGCAAGCTCGGGCGGGCGACTCGCAAATATACAAGGCTACGTATTCGGGTGTGCCCGTTTGGGAGATGAGGTGTAAAAGTAAGCTGGATATACACGAAATAGCAAATAACACGACTGCGAGCGTCTTTACCTTTTTGGCTCGCAAGAAATGCTTTCTCTTCTATTAACCATTTGTTATTTTGAATTACTTAGACGTTGCCGTGATGCGAAGAAAATCTGGTAATTTATTTATCTATTCGAATCTAATTAATTTCAATGTAAAATCGTATAACGTGCACAATCGGTGAATACTTTTTTCATTGTTGACACATATTTACTAAATGATTTTTTTGTTACTAGATGGCTGGTTAAATGCCACCCAAATCCTAAAAGTTGCCGAGTTTGATAAACCACATCGAACAAGAATCTTGGAACGCGAAGTGCAAAAGGGTGAACACGAGAAGGTGCAAGGAGGGTACGGAAAGTATCAAGGTATGCCGATGATGAAGATACTGATGATGTCATTGATCGATAATCTTGTTCTCGCTGTTTTTTTGATGATGAGAAGTGTGCATTTCATTAATTTTCCCTCCGTAATTGATTCTTCTTTCGATAGGAACGTGGGTTCCACATAAAACCGGTGTTAGCCTTGCAGAGAAATACAATGTAAAAGAATTATTAGCCCCGATTTTCGATTATGATCCATCGGCATTAGCAAGTCCACCTCTTGCACCCAAACACATCACCGCTGCATCAAGTAAACCACGAAAACCACGCGAAAGTAAAGAGCCAAAAGCGATAAAACCCAAAGCAACCAAAAAATCAAAAAAAGCAGTAGCCGCAGAAATTGCCGCAGCTGCAGCGGCAGCTGCACAACCGGAACCAATGGAAGATTTGTCGATTGACACAGATATCGAAACAAACACAAACGAGGGGGAGGCAATTAGTGTAACTTCTCCCATATCAAACGTCACCACATCTGAAATATCGTCACTTGCCACAACTCCTGCGCCGATTGAATCATCAAATGAAATGTCAGACTATGATATTACTCTTCCTCCTCCTCTTCAATCAACTTCACATCATCATCACCACCATCACCATCATCATCATCATCAAACTCAATCATCACAACATCATCATCAATCAAAATCGAAAAAGCGTCGACAATCCGAGCATAACGGTCGACCGCAAAAAATTATCAAAACTGTTTCTGCGACAGCACGCCAATACGGAGAACAGATGCTTAAATTTTTTACGGCTCGTTCATCCATTCCAATTCCAGAGTTTTTGACACATCCACCGGCAGATTTTGATCCTAATGTTAAAATAGATCAACAAGAACATACGGCGCTTCATTGGTCAGCAGCGACCGGAAAGAATCAAATTGCCAGAATATTAATACAATCAGGTGCAGAAATCTCTCCCGGTAATATACGAGGCGAAACACCTCTTATGCGAAGTGTTGTGTTTCCATATTGTTACGATAGTCAAGGATTCCATGAATTGTTGAACTTGTTACGAGATTCCTTACTTCATCATGATTACAGTAATCAAACGGTGTTGCATCATGTTGTTAATTATGCTGGCACAAAAGGGCGAGATCGTCCGGCAAAGTATTATATGGAAAATCTTCTCAATCAACTCGCGGCGCAACAATCCGAAGAATATCGAAGCTATTTCGTCAACTTGCAGAATAACAAGGGTGATACTGCACTGAATATTGCCGCTAGGAACGCCAACAAAAAACTAGTGAAACTATTACTAGATGCCGGTGGTGATCCTCAAATACGAAACTTGGAAAATAAGAATGCCGAAGATTACATTCTTGAACATGAAGCTGAGGCGGCACGACTACGTGAAATCGAGCTGCAAAAGCAAAAGTCAACACACACCGGGATTTTGGAATCTTCCGCGTCTACGGTTCGACCTAATGCACGTAATCGATTAATTCCCAGCGCTAATGCCATTTTACAAGATTTTCAAGAATGCTATGAAGCGAGATTACTAGGAAAAAAGAAAGAGTTGATTGCAGTCCAGTCTGATTTACAGGCTGTAAAATGGAATATCGAGGTCGCTAATAATAGTCTAGAAGAAACAAAAACAATCACAGATAAACTACCTGAACTGAAAGAACAGGAAACTGAATTGGGACGTTTAGTGAAAGAAAAACTTGATTCACGGTATGCTGAACGAATTCAAATTTCATACGAATCAGAATTGAAGAACAAAAATGTCAATCCTAGTGTAGATTCCACAAAGTGAGTTATATTTCATTTTCTTTTATTTTACTTGATTTCTTTTATTAATATTATATAATTAATTAATCAATCAGTTAATATGATCTTCATGATAACTTTAGCTTGGCTGAGCTCCGAGAAAAAGTTAATGCAGCGGAAAAAAATTATCAAATGTCGATCGGAACGGTGCTCAATACCATGATGGCTAGTGAAACAAAGCTAGCTAAATATAAAAGATTAATAGAAAATTGTTCAGGGATTGATTCTCAAAAATTCTTGGATAAAATTGGAGTTGTGCTTGAGAATCTTCCTGAACAATAAAAATATTATTTTATTTATTATGTATTAAATATGTTTGTTTTTGATGAATAATAAATTATGAGAAAAATCTTTAGAAATTTCTAGCATTCACCGCCAAATTTAATTTAAATTACCAGGCCGACCCCATTAATTTATTTGAGGATGCGTTAAAGCGGAATAGTCACGTGTATATAAACCAATCCAATCGCAAATATAAGGTGTAACATACAAACTAACAACATCCAAGTAAAAATGCTCAGCACGAGATTTTAGATATGGTCTAATGAATTTGAAACTACTCCCCCCATTGTTTGACATTATTCTATTTAGAGTAGTAATAATGGACAATCACGATTTGTTAAATTTTATGATAATATTACCATTTTTGGGGAACACTAAAAGCCAGGTAGTGTGGCTTAGCATCAAATTTACCAAGTTCACTGAAAATTTTGCTGGACAAGGAGCTAGTCTCTATAAAGACAAATTTCGCGCTGAGCATTTTTGCTAGCTAGTTGTCATAGTAAAAATTTTGAGATATTGCAATTTTCACTTTGAATTTTGTATGTTACACATGGTCCTACAATTCGATTGGTCAATCACGTGACTACCTGGCTTTAACGTTAACTTAACCTTAACGCTAAACCGGGAATAGTCATGACAACCGGGCCGGTTGATAAAATTTAACGGCTAAATAATTATGTATTATCAACTCCAATCTTTATAAAATAATGACTGAATCTAATGCAGAACCACGACCGCTTATTGTTGGGCCTGAGACGCCAGCATCACCATATCCCATAAGAATGAAGGGTGAAGTAGTGAAAGGGTTTGGTCGTGGCAGTAAAGAACTAGGCATTCCAACAGGTATCACTTTCAAAGTGAAATATTCATTTCATGCTCAATTGTAATGGGAACAAATTATTCTACAACTTATTTTACTTTTACTCTATGACATAGCGAACCTTTCAGAGGATGCAATAGACGCATTATGCAAAGGAGTATCGACTGGTATATATTATGGATGGGCACAAGTTGTTGGTAAAGGTGGAGAGAACGATTTTCCTACTACTCCCGTTTATCCGATGGTAATGAGTCTTGGTTGGAATCCTTATTACAAGAATGAGAAGCAGAGCGCGGTACGTATCGAATCCTTTTTCTTATCTTTATTAGATACAACGATTAGATATGTGTACGCGCTTTATAAAATGAATTGATCATCAAGTCTTTGAATGGCCGACAAGTGAATCAAATGAAAATAATTTTTATTATACTTTGGATGGATTTTTTTCTTTACAAACGCGTGAGCACATATCAGATCTAATAACTAACACTTCTATATTATATAAATATGACTGTTTTTCCTTGTAGGAAATTCACATTATACACGTTTTTCAAAGTGATTTTTATAATGAAGAATTACGTGTGATTGTTTTAGGGTATATTCGACCGGAAAGTGATTATAATTCGTTAGGTATGGATGTTTGATATGCTATTTTCTTTATAAAAAAATCATCACAACAAATTAACACATCACAAAATTAAAAGAGGAACTTATCCAGGATATAAACACCGATATACAGGTGGCCCATAATTCATTAAAACGTGATGGATATTCTAGATTTCAGCGAGACGGGTTTTTTGTGAGTGATGGCGCTTGATCAAAGATTTTCTTTTGTCATTGAAGGATAATGAAATAACGTTAAAGTAAGCTTTGGTTAATTATTGTCTTTTGAGCATTTTTTCGATTAATGTTCTAATATAAATTACATTTATAATTTATACTTAAAGTTTATAAAAATTAATTTACTTAAGTGTTCGATGTTATATTATCTAATTTGCTGGTGTTGTTGAAATAAAATACTCTATGCTTCGAGAAAATATAAAGCAATTTGCACATCGTTGTTAATGGACTAACGGTTCGAAGTTTCTTATACTTTTTTAAAATATGTTGCAACCTATTGAGGCGCCTTATTAAACTTTATTTTTATTGAGAATGAAGAGATAAAAAAGAAATCATAATGTATACCAGCTAATTAACAAAATGTTAAAAAAAAACGCTATCTTAAAAACCAAGAATTTTATATCTGCGCAAAAAGTTTATGCCAGCCAGCTTTATAGATAAAGCCGAATCTTAGATTAATTAGTAATTACATCCGTCCTTCGAACTTTGAGTGATGATGAACTGTGCTGGCTCCGCTTAATTTTCCGTGGCTTTTATCAGAGGCCTCATCGTTTTGAATATCACTTTTCACTTCGTTATATATAAATAAAGATCTTCTATCCTATGAGATGTTGCCTGCTTAGACGAGCAAAAGCTGCGGTTATTCATCAGAAGGCTTGTCTGTCACCAGATTTCTTGCAGAAGAGAGCACAACTACTAAGCGTTCGGAGGAACTGTGGTTATTAAACTCTGAGTTGTGGTTCGCGCTTAGTTGTACGCCAAACTGCGGTTATTCTCCTTGGATTGAGAATCACCTGTTGGAATAGAATCTCTGTTGATTCGGAATCAACCTAGGTTGATTTGGAATTAGATATCAAATTAAGGATTTTAAACTACCCAGGTTGACATAACGATAACCCTAACTATAATCCTAACACAACCTTAACCCTAACGCTAATATTAATTAATCTAGGTTGATTCCGAATCAACATGGCATTCTATTCCAACTTATGACATATACATGACTGATCATCCAGAACTGTGGTTATCCCTCGATTCTCAAGATCAATGCATCACGTGCGCTCATTCGGTCTGCGTTGCTTGGGAGTCCGCCGTTTCGCGAATAACAAGGGAAGACTTGGCATTCTTTAACGTATCTCATCCGGATCAAGAATTCCGAAAAGTTCTTTAATCTTCCTATTAAACGACGATGATCATGATAATAATACTTCTCAAATTTTTATAGAATTTTAACTTTATCATGGTAACTTTACAAATATTTATTAATAATGATTCTAAAATATTTAAATAATTGATGATTTGGCGTGATGCTGGCGGAGATATAGTCAATTGTCATCAAATAAAATAAATACGATTATCCTTTCTATTTTATAGCCTTTGCAATCGACAAAAATGTACTCAGAAACATGACACAAACACCAAACGCCACACAAAGCACAGCCGGCAATTTTTTCCGTGTCCACCATTTTCCCGAGGTGAGTTGAAGAAAACATGCCGGCGGTAATATGTAGGCTAATGCTGTGGCGGAAAATCCACCGGTTAACTCTAGTACAAAGCCTAAGTCTTCAGTGAGTAACGAGATTACCATTGCGCCGCTGACTAGTAGGGTTGTTATTAGTCGGTGACGTGTGTTTGAAAATGATTTATTGTTGAAAAAGTAGATTTCTATAACCTAAATTGGGGTATAAAGGATTACTCAAGTATTCATTCAATCGCGCGATAGATAATAAGTAATCTATCACGTCCAATCTCTATTATCAAATTACCTCTCGGCAAACAAATGCTTCCAGTGGAAGCGTGGTAAACATATTAAATCCGAAGCAAAATCGTGCTATATTAATAATGAAATCATTATCCGGGAAATTATTCAAAATGTTTCCTTTGTTGTGGGAAGAATAGAAAGAAATACGTTAATACTAGTAATACTGTTTTGCGGTAGCCCCTCACTCAAATTTTGTACTACTCTTCTAAAACTGATAAGATTTACCCTGTGTTTTATCCGTAAACACCAAATAACCGGACAAAGCCATCAATATACATGCTAGCATCGAAACGCCCGTCGACCAATGAGTCACAGTAGCAAACCGATTTAGTGTAGGTTTCTTTAGCGAATCAAAAATTAATAGTGAATTATGATGACATACAAAAGCTAAAAATTTTTAAAATTAGGAATAAGGAGTATATTAAATAGAGACGAACAATCATCGACTCAAAATAGATATTCACCAAAACTAATAACACCAATCGACTTTTAATGATTAGTAAATAGAAAATTACATTAGATGCTATTCGATAATAAGAACTACATCACAGCTAAAAAAAAAAACAATTACCTGAAACAACTGAGGATGCGCAAAATCCCATTTTCCATTTTCACTGCCACGCAGTTCTGGTTTCACCAAAGGTCCTTCCACCACAACACATAGCACAATTATAACCATCGATATTAAGGCCAAACCGCTAGCTTTTGCCAATTTAGAAATATCGCGATATAAAGATAGCGGATAGGATATACCCAGAGTACATATGATTATTATGAAATTACGCTGTACAAATAGATCAAGTATTGGTATATTGACAATGTGCGGAAACAGCGAGGATATCACATGAGGGATTGTGTCACCTAGTATTGGTGTTTTTATTATTAATAGGTGTTGTAAAGAGTAAAACTACATGCGAATGATAATAATCTTTACCTATAATAACACAGTAAGCAGACATTCCTTTGATGATAAAAAAAAATAAAAAATAAATAAATATTAAATAATTAAAATATTATTATTAAGTTAACATAATAAAATTTATTCGGTACCCTAACTCATATAAAAAATCTTTCTTTGGCACGATCAGTTTTAATGCTACTAAATAAAAAATGATATAAAACGACGCGTCCACATTCTCATCTTTGTCCGATTCTCAAAAAATCAAACAGAAAAATAAAGATAGATCTGAATATAAATAAAATATTCTCACCACCAAATGCGAAAGCAAACTGAAAGACCGATATAGCAATTAACCCACTCTTCCCGAAGCAGTGATACATCATGTCCTGATAAGAATTACGTCCCGATAATTTAGAATTGAAAACTAGCAGGCGAATGGTCCAATCGACGACTAGTGTCAAGCCTACTAATAAAATCAGCCCTGTCCATATTCCTGCCTCTCGAAATGAAAATGGAAGTCCTGTGTAAAATAAATAAAGATCAATTTTTTTCTCTGAATTATATACATTCGATTATATCAATTTCTTACCAATTATTCCTATACACGATCGAAGCAAATACCAATTGGTTAGCATAAAATTGAAATAAGTAATCGAAATCAAGAAAATTATTATTGGCATTACCTGCTCCGATTATACTATTCGCCATCAACAACGAGCTCTCAAAAACTGATCCACCATCTTTAGGCTTTTTTATCTCTTCGAATTCGATAGACTCTATCAACATTCCTGTATCCTCACCATATTGTGACACATCCTCTTCAGCATCTCCCTCATCAATCACATGTAAACCAGAAGTAAGTGTTAATTTATTATCTAGTGATATTGCAGTAGAATTTTTAGAATCGTCCTCAAGCATAAAAGCCTGCAATAATTCGTCATTTGCTAAGCCACGAGACATTATTATTTGTCTATTAAAGGTGTCTGTCTGAGAAAAACAAAAAATGTTCGAAAAGAAAGCTTCTCTCTACAAGATTTAGTTGAATCGTTTGTTTCAAGCGTTTGAACTCAATTCAGAATACCAGCAACTAATTCTCCAATATCTTAGCAATTATTATAAGGTAATCATCGCCTCAAAGTTTGTAACACTGCAAAGTAACAATGATAATTAGAATTGGTGATTTTTTATTATTTGCAAAATTGACATGAATTTACTCTCAAAGCTATATCGGTATTTAGTTTATAAAACTGAACGCACAAAATCATGAATGTTCAGTTAGCATCTTTATCTAGAAACAGAAGTCAGTCAACTCGAATATTGCTTCTTTAGAGCATTCCATTGGAGCTGAGAAGAAAATATTTTTATCTGCTGAGTTTTTATTGCATGATAAATCGCCTTATAATTCTTATATTTGTTTTAATCGTTATATGATTGAATCTAGATTCTTCCTCAGAAGAGAAAAATAAAAGTCAAAGAATTCTGTAAATCGTTGTCCGACTGCTAATGTCTAAATAACGGATTCTTTTTCGGTTGGTGATTTGATTAATGTGGTCTTGGGCTGTTAATTAGTGCTACAAGGCGGATTTAAACATTCGTTTTTTTTGTATTTTCACTTTTTGCCTAGTCTTAGTCTAT